GGGGGTCAGTGAGTGAGGGGGTCAGTGAGTGAAGGACAGTGAGTGAGAGTTAGTAACTGAGGGGGGTCAGTGAGTGAAAGTTCAGCGAATGTGGAGTTCGATTTTAGACTCTATAGACACAATGTCAAGGCAGTTTGGGGCCAGACTGCTGTTGACTTGCTTTATAGTGTGTTGGTCCAAAGTGCATTGAACACCTCAGGAGAAGTCTTGGAGTAGAAACAAAGCAGGCTGGGAGTGGCAAACATCAGATTAATAACTGAGCTCTCACCCTGACTGTGACTAAAATAAAACAAAGAACCGAGGCTTCTGGAGATCTGAAAAATAAACAGAATTTGCTGCAGAAATTCGTCTGTGGGGAGAAAGCAGAGTTAATGATTCAGGTCCAGTGACCTTTTTCAATTTACCACAGATGCTGCCAGACCTCCCGAGTTTCTCCAGCAATATTTGTTTCTGTTCAGGACTGTAACTCCTGGGATCCGCTAAATTTGGGAGAGTTTCACAAAAAGAAACCTTTCTGGGATTTTACTGAGAACTGTTTATTGGATAAATTGGCACAAGTAGTGTCTGAGCACAGGAATTCCCGAGTCAGCACTGTTAACATTAGGTACTAACCATTAATGAATAACACCCAAGTTCATATTAGGTACTAACTCTCCCAGGTTAATGTATAAGCCATTATTGTTTTGTTATTGGCCTTGGTTCAATGATTATCACACACTCTCCTCTGAGTCAAAAGGTCGCGAGTTCTTGTTCCAGAAACGCAGCTCAACTTCTCAATGTGTGCTTCAATGGGAGGGGCAGTGCTAAGGAGTGCTACATTGTCCAAGGAGCAGAACTAAGTAACAGCACAAGTGGGAGTGCAATAGAGTCAATTCTCAAGGTGCACTCATGCTGGGCAGGATAGACAGTGTTAACAGAGTACACTGCCCTGCCCGAGGGTCAGAACTAAGGGAGCACTGCACTGTCAGAGGATCAGTACTGAGGGAATGCTGCATTGTCAGAGGGTCAGTACTGAGGGAGCACTGCCCTGTCCAAGGGTCAGTACTGAGGGAGCGCTACACTGTCAGAGGGTCAGTACTGAGGGAGTGCTGCACTGTTGGAGAGTCAGTACTGAGGAAGCACTGTGCTGACGGAGGGTTATTATTGAGGGAGTGCTGCAGTGGTGAAGGGGCAGTATTGAAGGAGCGTTACATTGTCAGAGGTTCAATGAGAGGGTGGTGAGAAATGATTGAGGAGGATTCTGGAAGAAATCAGCTCGCTCGCAAAGACTGAAAAGGGGATGACGAGGACGCGGTGTCAAAGAATGAGCAGAACTCCAGGATGGTGTGTTGCCTCTCTGTTGCAAGAGTCAGGGATATCTTTGAGTGGGCACAGGATATTCTGAAAGGGAACGGTGAGCAGCCAGAGGTTATGGTGCACATTGGTACTAACAACATAAACAGAAAGAGAGATGAGGTCCTGCAAAAGGAATTTAGAGAGTTAGGTGGGAAGTTGAAAAGCAGGCTTGTAATCTCAGGATTACTCCCAGTGACATGTACAGCTAAATGTGTGGCTAAAGAGCCAGTGTACGAGGGAGAGGTTCAGATATCTGCACCATTAGGATCTCTTCCAGGGCGGTTGCACCTAACTGGAGGAGCACCAGTATCCTGGCAGGGAGATTTGCTAGTGCCACTTGAAAGAGTTTAAGCCAGTGTGGCGGAGGAGTGTGATTGAAGAAAAGATTGATGATAAGTCAAGTCTCATAGGAAGAACAAGCAGGACCAGGTTAATGAACAGAGCAGGACAGGTGGTCTGAAGTGTATTTATTTTAGTGCAATGAGTATAACAGGCAAGGCAGACGAGCTTAGAGCCTGGACTACAATGTGGTAACCATTACAGAAACTTGGTTGCGAGAAAGGCAGGATTAGCAGCTCGATATTCCAGGCAAGATAGAGGGGGATGTGAAAGGGGTGGGGGGAGTTGCATCACTGATTAAGGAGAATGACACAGTTGGACTAAGAGAGGACATCTTGGAGGGCTCAGGCATTGAGACCACCTGGTTAGAATTTAGGAATAGGAAAGGTATAATCATTATGCTATAGTATACTACAGGTCTTCCAATAGCCAATATGTAAGCAGATCATGGAATGCTGTAAAAGCAACTGAGTTGTTGTAGTGTTGACTGGGACTCCCATAGTGCAGGGACTTTGATGAAACAGAATTTGTTAGCTGCATCCAGGTGGGTTTCATGAAACAGAACGTAGACAGTCCAACAAGGGAACAGGCCATACTAGACCTTGTATTGGGGAATGTACCTTGCCAGGTGATTGAAGTTTGAGTTTGGAAGCATTTTGGGAGCAGTGATCATAATTCCATAAGATTTAAGACAGTTGTGGATTAGGATAAGACTGGTCCTTGAGTCAAGGTGCGAAATTGGGGTAAGGCTAACTCAACAGTATTAGGCAGAAACTGGAGAGATTAGATTAGGGACAGCTGTTTTGAACATAAATCCATAGCTGGTGTGTGGAAATCTTTTAAAGGGCAGTTGATCAGAGTTCAAGACCAGTATGTACCTGCGAGAATGAAAGATAAGGATAGCAAGATTTGGGAACCCTGGATGACAAGAAATATTGAAAGTTTAGTCAAAAAGGAAAAAAGAAGCATATGTGAAACTGAAATCAGACAAGGCACTTTATGAAACAAAGGAAGCAGGAAAGAACTTAAACAAGGAATTAGGAGGGCTAAAAGACAAGAAATATCCTTAGCAAGTAAGATTAAGGAGAATCCCAGTATAAGTAGGATCAAAAGGGTAATTAGGGAAAGGGTAGGTCCACTCATAGACAAAGGAGGGAATTCATGTGTGGAGCCAGAGGAAGTGGGTGAGGTCCTTTACGAGTAGTTTGCATCTGTATTCACAAAGAAGGTTATGGATGATTGAGAGATTAGAGACAAGTTTGTTGATATTCTGGGCCATGTTGATATTAAGAAGGAAAGGTGATTAGTATGTCTGCAGATAACACAAAGAGGACAGCACTGAGAAAGTCCCGCACTATTTGAGGAGCAGTAGTGAATGAATGTATACAGTCAGAATGTCAATACTGAAGCAATGCAGCATGTCACAGGGTCAGTATTGAATTGGTGTTGCACTCTCAGTTGGGGCTGCAACTGTGTGAGTATCAGCTCTTGACCTTGTCCAACAGGTATGAGGTACTTGTTCCCTGTATGGATGGAGAAAGAGTCTGCAGGGAGAATGGGCAAACTGACAGTGGTCCAGTAAGCCATTAATGTGGTTGGGGAGGAGGGGTGGGGTGGGGCAGGTGGAGCACAAAGAAAAGTGGTAGTAGTAGGGAATTCTGTAATTAGAAGTACAGATAGCATCATTGTGAACAGGATCGAGAGTCCTGCATGGTGTGTTGCCTATCTGGTGCCAAGGCAAAGGACATCCCATGTTAGTCTGAAAGGATACTGAAGGGGGATAGGGAGGATCCAGCTGTTGTGGTCCATGTTGGCACCAACATAGGCAAGAGTCCTGTTTGGGCAATGTCAGAAATTAGGAACAAAATTAAAGAACAGGACATCAAAATTTGTAATCTCTGGATTATTGGTAAATTGCAAAAAGATAAGATAAGGAGGTAAACATGTGACTGAAGGAGTGGCGTGGGAAAGAGGGGGTTCCGTTTTGTGGGTTCTGGTATCAGTATTGGAACAGGAGTGAACTGTACTGAGGGGACAGGCTCCACCTGAACCGATCTAGGACCAGGATCCTAGCAGAAAGACTAAACAGAGTGGTCACAAAAATTTTAAACCAGTTAGAGGTGGGCAGGGCTCAGGAGAGGTTATTAAAGTTTCCAGAACACAGAAGAGGAGAGAGCGTATGGAAAGAGTCAGGAATCTAACTTCAGGCACAGCAGATAAGGGGACAATCATGAGAAAGGGGTGGTCAACACTGGACTGAAGGTATTGTACATAAGTGTATGCAGTTTATGAAACAAGGTAAATGAGCTTGTAGCACAGATTGAAATTGCAGGTACACTGTTGTGGGTATCACAGACGTGGCTGCAAGGGGAACAGGGCTGGGTATCTAAGGATAGATGTCCCATCAAAAGGATAAGCTGATGTACCGTATGGGGGGGGAAAAAAGTTGCCTTGTTATAAAAATGAAATTTAATCGATAGCAAGAAGCGATAAAGAATTGGAAGGCATTGAAACTGAGGAACCACAAAGGAAAAACAGACCTTGATGGGAGTTATTTAACAGATCCCTAGCAGCAATCAGGAAATGAAGCAGAAAATAAATCATGAGATAGAAAAGGCACACAAGAAAGGCATGGCAGAGTTCAATATGTAGGTGAACTGGAAAATCAGGTTGGTAGCAGACTATCAAATACAGCAGACGAAATTTAATATTTAAATTAAAAAAAAACTTTGAAATAATTTCAGAAATTCACCCAAGTACCTTTATTTTTAGAAAGGGAGGATTGCAGCTGGTAACCAGTGGAGTTCCACATAGGTCAGTGTTGGGACCACAACTATTCACCGTCATACATAATGATCTGGACAAAGGAACTGGGGGAATATTTGCTGTGTTTGCAGATGACACAAAGATAGGCGGAGGGTCAGGTAGTGTTGAGGAAGTGGGAAGGCTGCAGGACAACTTGGAAAGGCATAAGAAAGTGGGCAAAGAAGTGGCCAATGGATGATAATGGGAAAGTGTGAGGTTATGTATTCTGGTAGGAAAAATAAAGACAGACTATTTTCTAAATGGGGAAAGGCTTCAGAAATCTGAAACACAAAAGGACTGAGGAGGCCTTCTTCAGGATTCTTTGAACATTAACATGCAGGTCAGTTGGTAATTAGGAAGGCAAATGCAATGTTAGCATTCATTTCAAGAGAGCTAGAACACAAGGGTAGGGATGTACTGCTGAGGCTGTGTAAGGCTCTGGTCAGACTGCATTTGGAATATTGTGAGCGGTTTTGAGCCCTGTATCTAAGGAAGGACGTGCTGGTCTTTGAGGTGGTCCAAATTAGGTTTATAAGAATGATCCCAGGAATGAACAAAGGTGGCAAATGTGGCTGTTAGAAGTAAATAGAGAAGTGAGAAAGGCCATAGGTAAGCAGGGCAGTCCAAATCTGGCTTTGATTCTTTCTGGGAGCAACTTTAAAAGCTGGTGTCCACTGTGCCATAGTGCTGACACTGATTCAAAGGGGCATCATTTCACTAGTTTCCAATTGCAAATGGTCTGTGTCACCTTCCTCCTCACAACCCAACATCCAGAGTGCTGTTTATTCCAGCTGTTGCTTTATTCTCTCTAGTTGGGGTAGCCCTCATTCCAGCTGTGTTCTTTTCTATTACAGGAACAGACCATAGGTCTCGCCATCCTGACTGCCACAATAATGATACCTTCAAGTTGGGTATTGGCTCATTTGGAAGATTACAAGCACAGGCCAGAGTCTGCAAACAACTGAGAGAGATTTCTGTGTATTCTCAACATGGCCAAACAGTGGTGATAATAATATTGCTATGCTGATATCTGAATTTACTGATTAAAATGTTTGAACCTAGTCCATTGATTCCACACTTTTTTTAAAAAAAGAACATCCTTAGATGAATTTCTGAAACTATTTTATGAAGTATTTCTTGGTATTAAATTCCATCTGCCATACTTGTAGCTTAAGTCTAGTTGCACACTGGGCAATCAGGGATGGGCAATAAATGCCATCTTAGCTCGTCCTCATCCTGTGAATGAATTTTAAAACTATCTTCACGATTCTAACTCCAAGTTTGGAATCGTCAGCAAATGTTGAAAGTTTGTTCTGCACTCTAAGTACCTTTATTTTCTATATAATAAAGCAAGAAAAGCAGTGATCCAGTATCGACCGTTGGGGCAAGCCGTTGTCTATTATCCTGCAGTCTAAATAACAATCATTTGCCATAACTGTTTTTCCCTTGAGCCTTTTTTTTTAAAATCAAAAGCTGACACTGACCCTCCTATGGATTTCAATTTTGTGATCCAACCTCTTATGCAATAGTTTGTCCATTACTTTCTTAAAATTGACATAGACACCATCCTGTGTTCTTCACTTAACAACCTGCTCTGTTACATCATGAAAAACATCAAGTATGATCTGCCTTGATTAATTCAAAGTTCCACAAGTGCCTGTTGATATTTTTCCCTGACTGCTTCTGAAACCTTACCCACCACTGATGTTCCCCGTAGATGCATGTCTTGTGCAGTTCTGGATCAAAAGTATGAAATTTGTTCTATTCAAGTTTCCTGGCACCTCCTTGGTGTCGAAGTTGGAAAATTATGGCAAATCCTTCCACCATCTCCATGTCCTTTATCTGGTGAGATATGAACCATCTAGGTCAAGCATTGCCAGCCTTCCAATTTTTTACATTTTCTTCCCCAAATATTTATCTTCTTCCCATATCCCAAAATCCTGAATGAAAAAAAATCCCTTCTCTCCCTCAGTATTTTGCTAATAATTTTTAGTTTCTGACCAAATAAATAGCTTCTTCCTTCCCAGTTTAATTGTTTTTTTTCATAAATGTCTCTCCGACAGGTATTCAGTCCTCTAATAAAACTGTTTTCATAATCATCTCAGCCCTGGGATTCTCTCAGTAAATCACTCCTGCAGCCTCTCCAAAGCTTTGACGTCCTTGCTCAGATAATACCCTGGAAACAGAACACCACATTCCATCAGCAGTTCGACCAATGGTTTTTACAGTTTTAAAATTCCAACTTTACATCATTGCTATTTATAAGACACAGAAAGCATCTGTTTTTTTTCCCTTTCCTGACAGCTTTATCAACTTGTCCTCCCATTTTAAAGATTTGCTCACTTAAAACTCACTTTGTGCATCTCCAATCCTTTCAAAAGGTTCCCTGTTTGATGTATGTGCTCTCATTCCCAAAATGGTTTATTTACAATTTCATCAGAATGTTCTTTGCCTGATCCAAAAATCTGTAATCCACAAGTTTAGTCATTTAAGAAGCTAACCATAGCATTCCCACCTTCAAATTTTGATACTGTAACCCCTTTAACCAAGTGCAGATCATTTATGTAATAACAATAGCTCTAACACTGAACTCTAGGGGACATCACTGCCCACATCTCTCCAGTTCAACTAATGTCCACTGTTTCTCTACCGCACCCCACCATTTTCTGCCACGTAACCAAATCCCATACTCATTCTCCTATCTCCTTAATAACGAGTCTAAACTTTGTTAACAAGCTTCCATCCTCAAAATGCTTTCCAAAAAAACAACTTCAAAAACATAAAAAGGATGGTCAGTTCTTGGTCAACCTGGAGTACCAGGAGAGATTTCTACTTAGGACAAGACATGGTGCTTTGTGATATTAAACTAGCTAGAACAGAGAACAAGGTCAGAGTAGATTAAGCATAGTAACACTGAGCAATAAATAGCATTTATGTCAAGGCTGCAGCAGCTCTTGAAATTCAAGTACTTGTTCCATTTGGCAGTCCTGGTGATAAACAGCAGCAGGTGCTGGAGGTTGTAAACAGGTGGATTCTATTCAGATTCCAGGGTTCTACGGAACAGTGGTTATGCCCCTATTTCAGAACCAGGACACCTAGGTTCTAGTCCACCTGCAAATAGTTATGCTTTGTTACACATTTGAACAGATTGATTAAAACAACACTGAATAAAACAAGTTCCATTCAGCTTCCAGACATTCAGAGTCATAAAAACAAGTTAGGCACTGTGTTCGATATTTATTTAGTAATTAGCCGAACAAAGTACAAGCAGCTAGGGTAAGTATTTGGCATCAGCAATCAAAGCAATAAAATCATTTGGGAGATTGAGAAATATTCAGTGATCACTGCTGAAAGTGAGTTTGAGGTCCGAGAGTGAAACATACAGGTGGGCGGGGCAAGATAGGGAGCGAAAGAGGTCAGGTGGAGGAGTAGGAGTAGGAGAAATGTAAACGGAAGAGAGGAGACACAGCAGGTACAATACAGCAGGGTACACAAATAAAAGGTGTTTGAGAGAGACCCAATCTAAAAGGCAGAGATGGCATGAAATAGGGGAATACCAAATGGAGAAGGGAATGGACTTAGAATAAGACAGGGATGAAGAGAGAGTGGGAAAATGAGGGGGCGAGGGAGAAAATAAAAAAGGGGGAGGGGAAGAGCTGAGTAAGTATAAAGTAGTCAAAGCATTGGTATAGATTATACAGATGAAGACTGAGATAAAATACAGAGGGAAGCGAGAAGGTAGTATTCCGGAGAAACAGGGACTGCACCACATTAGGAATGAGTAAAAACCATCGACAAATAGAAAACACTAACTGGGCAGCTACCAGATGATAGGAAGACCGCGTTGATCTCAATATCCAAATAACGACCTTACAAACTGTGTTCTTTTCTGAGCTAAATTCTTACAGATGATGTCAGGAACAGACAGAATTATCAGCTATTCTTAACAAGGAGATGTTGTGAAATGTTAAGTGAAGTTCCAAGATACGTATGCAAATATAAGTGAAAATCATATCAGTAGATGCATTTCATCTCCAACAGGGAAAATCCTGTTAGACATTAGCACAAGGCAATTATTACAAAGTGGTTGTGTCAGTTTGTTCTTCACAACCACATCAATTTGGTAAATGTAATCTTGGCCTTGACAGGCAGAATGAGTCCGGTCCTTGTCATTGGTTAATCCACGATCTTCAGAATTTTTACTGTGTTCAACTGGAACCAGTGGAAAGGTTTGACTATGACTTACAGCGAAAACAAAGCATAATACTGAACCCTCAAGTAAACATCAATTAGGAGAAATTACCAAATTCAAGAGTACTGGGAACAAACAATCTCCAGAACAAGCATCAGAGTCACAAAGCAGGAATGGTGCAAGCAAATCCAGTTACTCTATCTAAAAAGAGATGGCTTAAATCAAGAATTTACCACAGCGCTGAATAGTTTCTTCCAATAATGAACACAAGTGAACATTTTAAAATACTTTTATTCCATCTTAAATATTCTTGTAAAATGGATCATGTCATCTCATGATTTTAGCAATAACTTCATTAATCCTATCTTTAAAAAAATGCTTTAAAAATGGGACAGGCAGGAGCACAGCCACTGCATGGAGACTGTAGGAAAATTTACCCATCTGTGGCCTCTTTACTTGATTGGGCAGCTAACCAGTCCCAGATCATAGAACAATACGGATGGTTATAAAAGCAAAATACTGCAGATGCTGGAAATCTGAAAGAAAATGCTGGTGAAACTCAGCAGGTCTGGTAGCATCTAAGGATAGAGAAACACAGCTAACCGAGTCATATATGACTTTCTCTCAAAGAGGAGTCATTTTGAACTCAACACAGTAACACTTTCTCCACAGATGCTGCCAGACTTGCTGGGTTTCTCCAACATTTTCTGTTTATTTTAGTTGTGACAATTATTTTCATTGTCAAAATGCATAGGCCAGTATTTACTGCCTATTTCAAACTGCTCTAAGGTTATGATGGGGCTTACTGAATCACCAACTAGTTTGTCACAGTTAAATTTCTTGCTGAAAACTCAAGCTTGAACTGACTGTACACTGAAGTTTAAAAGGGCTACATTAAAAAGAGTCGACATGGAATTGGAGTCACATTTTGGACTCAGATAGCTGGCTTCCTTTTCTAAAGGAAATGAAGCAAAAAGAATTTTAGGACAATGTGACAGCTTCATGGTCACTTTTACTAAGATCAAGTTTTTCAAATTGAATTCAAATTCCCTTGGGGATTTTTAGACCAGATTTCTGGGTTCCTGGCTCAGTAACAACTGTTACACTATATTACTTGTAGTTGTCTGTGACAATTAATTAAAGACTCCTGATGCAAGGGGTCACAGAAATAGCTAAATGAGCAAAGGTTCATTTCAGGCCCAACTCACTTTAAAACATGAAATCTTTGTTCCTTTGGTAAAGATACCACTCCTGAGAAAATAAAGCTAGTTCTGTGAGGTTTGAAAGAACTGAAATAGGTGAAGCTGTTCACCCTGTCCCAAGTTATTAAAATACAGTTCATTTCTGAAAATGACCTACTGAAAACTCTACGACTAATTTTAAAAAGAGCAGTCAAATGATCCCAGACAGAGCAATGGTTAGGTTAGGATATCCTGTGCCTGATGTTCCACAAGTAACGCCACATTTTTCACATCCTCACACCAGTAATCCAATCTGTCTTTCATCCCTTTAATCTGCAACACAGAAAGGCAGCAGTTATTGCATTCGGCTCGAATCAATGGCCAATCATGGCACTCAGCGCAAAAAAACAATTCAGGGTACATTTGGCAAGTAATACAGATCAGAAGATCAGTAATATTAAACTTTATACCTGACAAAAGTAAATTTAAACCAGTTACTTGTTTCAAGAGATCAAGTGACTGGAAAATGATGTCACTCTGATCACGCAAGCTACTCTCCAAACGCCAGAGATTCTTCATCTCGAGGCTCAGTGTTTCTTTTACCTGTTGTAGGTCCAACACTCGAGGCTGAACCCAAGTCATGTGAACACGTTCATCCACTTCATCAATGCTGCCCTTCACCAAACCGACAGACAGTGCCTTCATCACTAAAAGCTCCACCTGTTAGATCAACAACAGCAACTGTAATAGTTCCTACAATCCATCCAGGTTCAGCATTCTTGTCACACAACTACGTGCAATCACATGAAGACGGGTTGTGTGCGGGCAGGTGCAGGGAGTAAGATGGGAGAGAATCTCATGAGTCTTAACAAGCTTGGGATCAAGAAAGGAAATATCATTTAATCCACAGGTCAAGCATCTGCAAAGAGAATGCCCTCTATATTGGTAGTTACTGTTGAAGCCTTTTGTTTCTTATTATATTTTATATTCTAAATGTTGCAACTGTTAGGGGCAAAACGTCACAGGAAAGGCACTCACCTCACTAATAGGAACCTTCGCAATTTGAGAAATTTCCTTAAACGTTAGCTGCCGATGGTTGGCTGGACGGGTGAAAGTCATCTAAAAGAAAGAGGAAAAACCGTATGAAATTTTAAAAGATCTGACCCTATTTATAAACAGCCAACATATATCCCAAAAAGGGACCAACTGGCATCACAAGTAAGATTTCACCACTGAGGCCATGCTTGACACAGTTCATGCAATGTGGATGGATTTTAGGATTGAGCATTGAGAAGGAACCATAGGGGATTATTACAGTGGTGGAGGTGAGGGGTGGGAGCAAGGGGGTGGGGGCAGGAGGCAGAGAAGGGGGAGAGAGGGTAGGTGGTGAAAGAAAACCACACAGGTCAGGAGACAAGAAATTCAACAAACCTCCATCAGGCAAAGGAGTTGGATTTTTTGCATTAGTCGCAGTTCATTGGCTCTCAGGTCAGGCTGCAATTACAAGACAAAAAAATTCAGCATTTCCAATACTGCTGCACCCTATCTATAGTCCCCATAGCCACTATGTGCTCGCTGTATCCCCCCCCACTCCTCCCCACCATTCCACACTCCAACTAGCACTCTATCCAACTCAACTTCTCCTCCCACCTTGTCCCACTCACTGATCCCACCCTAAATCTCATTCCACTCTCTCCTCCCCCTCCCCACCTTGTCATCTGCCCTTTGCTCTGTTCTTTCCCCCATTAACTCATTCACCCACCCTTTGTCTCCTTCTGTCGCCACCCTCCTTTCACCCCACAACCAGTCCCATGTCTTTCCTACAATATCTCCACCCCAAAGTCTCTGCCAGATTCTCCATTCCTCCTAGCAGGCTATTCACCTGCTGTCCCCAAGATGCTTTGAGAGCTTGAAATTTCTCCACATTGCCACTGTTGAACGCGTGCAAAGTGTCGATCAGCCACTGCTTATCTGTGGTTCGAAGTGACTCCAGCACGGGATGCATTAACTGAAAAGGAACGGAACATAATGCAGAACCTCAGCATGAGATACAATTTCTCAAAGTATACAAGAAAATAAACTCTCATTAGTACGCTGATACTCACAAGTTCTCCAAAGTTGTAAACATCTTCGCCTAAAAGCCCAGCCAATCCAAGAGTGAAAGCTCTCTCTTGATGCTCTGCAACTGAATCAGAATGACAAAAATCAAACCTTAGCCAGTAAACGTGGAAAAATCAATAAGATTGAAGTGCAGTCTCTGAGGTGAAACATTCAATGCTCCAATGAAAAATTTACACTAAAAGATTAAAAAAAAATAATTTAAAGTAAAATCAGAGGAATGGCTTAAACTAAATTTCAAATTATTTCTTGAACTGAGGGACAAATTCTTACGATTAAAGTATGAAAAATGGAAGTGTAATTTATTTGGCTAAAGTTTCCCTTGAGATAAGGAGGGGGGCATGGAATTAAAATTCAAGAATAAAATTCTGATAACCAATCAGGGAAAAAAAAACAAATTTGAAAGAAACCCTTCTTGATGTACCTCACACTGATATCTCCAGACGGATATTCTGCTTTAAAATCTGAAATGGAAACTAATTTTCTGGTGCTTTAAACAGTGAGAAGCTCAGTTTGTTCTATTTAAAACAGAGAAAGTTTAAGAGATTGAATAATGGTATTTCAAAGGGTTTTGAGAGCAGATCTTGACTCTGTATTCCATGGACTTCTGGCTTGGAGACAGGATTGCTACATCTAAGCCCTGGCTAATTTCCTTGGGATAGTTACTATACTTGGTGGGCTATTACATGGGGAAAAGGAGGAAGTCACAGACTCCAAGTTACAAAGAAAAAGGGGGACAATAGGTAGAAACTGGACAAATGTAACCATCAGGGCAAACAGAAGGAGTATGGCTGAACCTGTTGTTGCACAAACAACTGTGCAAGAACATAGAAGAGTACAGAACAGGAATAAGCCCTTTGGTTCACCATGTCTATGTCAACCATCAGGCTGTTCCACACTAATCCCAAATACCTGTACAGAGTCCATATCCCTCTGTTCCCTGCTTGTTCATATGTCTGGCTAAATACCTCAAAATTGGCTAAGGCACCTAACACCCTGTAAAGAAACTCACTTCACACATCTCCATTAAACTTTCCTCCTCACACGTTAAAACTATGCCTTCTAGTGTTTGATATTTCCACTCTGGGAAAAATACTCGAATATCCACCCTAAGAACGCATCTCAAATTTATACACTTCTAGAAAGCAATCTCTCAGCCTTTGATGGTCTAGCAAAATAATCTAAGTTTGTCCAACATCTCTTTATAGGGAATACATGCGAAGGCAACATCCTCTTTTGCACCCTCTCCAAAGGCTCCACATCCTTCCATAACATGGTGACCAAAGCCACACTCGATATTCCAAAAGTTTTATACAGCTACAACATGACTTGTCAGAACCCCAACTACTAATAATCAAAATGGCAGTGGACTAAAATTCCCCAGTCAGAGCTTGTACACTCAATTTTTATTTATTTTTTTTTTTTAAAAAACTTTTTTTTATTTCTTTCCCCCCACTCTTTCTTCTAACATCCCATCCTTGAGCCTCGAGTGAAGTCATCTCGGAATTGCGGTCTCGAGAGCCTGCAGCCAGCTCCATGTGGATTGGATGGACTGTTATTCCAAACTTTTATTTTTCTAATTTATTCTTATGATGTTACACTTTTGTACTTAAGAGGGTGAGAAGGTCTGTAATGCTGGACATTATTTCTTTTTACAACATTTTCCTAAGAATTTGTGCTTAAGAATCTGCACCTAGGTACATTTGACCCTAAGACAGGTCATAAGTAGTGGTTTATAAACTTTTCATTGTACTCATGTGAGTACATGACAATAAACTAACTGATGAAGGTAAGCATGCCATACGCATTCTTTACCAGATTATTCACTTCCGTTGTCACCCCAAGATCCCTCTGTATATCAATGCTTTTAAGGGTCCTACCATTTACAATATACTTTCCACCCAAGATGCATCACCTCACACTTGTTTGGATCAAATTCTGCCATTTCTCTGCCCAACTTTCCAACTGATCTACATCTTAATGTTTCCTTTGACAACTATCACTACCCACAATTCAATTTTCATGTTGTCTGCAAGTTTATTAATCACACCATCTACACTTTCATCTAAATCATGCATATGAACAGAGGTCCCAGCACTGATCCCAGCAGAACACCAGTGTTCACAGACCTCCAGTCAGAAAGACACTCCTCCACAATTACCCTTTGTCTTCATGACCAACCAATTTTGTACCCAACATACAAATGCACTGCGGATCCCACGTGACATAAATCTGGACCAGCCCAGAGGGACTTTGTTAATTTTTTTTCCCCATTTGTGGGATGTGGGCATTGCTGGCTGGCCAGCATTTCTTGCCCATCCCTAGTTGACCTTGAGAAGGTGGTGGTGAGCTACATTATTGAACTGTTGCAATCCACCTGCTGTGGGTTGACCCACAATGCCATTACGGACGGAATTCCAGAATTTTGACCCAACGACAGTGAAGGAATGGCGATATATTTCCAAGTCAGTATGGGGAGTGGCTTGGAGGGGAACTTGAAGGTGGTGGTGTAGTACAGTCCATGTAGACAACATTCAGTGCCCTATTCGATCATCTTTGTCACTTCCTCAAAAAACTCAAATTAGTGAAACAAGACATCCCCTGCACAAAGCCACGCTAACTATCCCTAATAAGTCCATTCCTTTCCAAATGTGAGTAAATCCTGTCCCTAAGAATCTTCTCTAATACTTTCCCCACTAATGTAAGACTCATCAGCCTATAATTATCCTTCTTAAACAAAGAAACAACACTGATTATTCTCTACAATTCTGGGACCTCACCTATGGCCACAAAGAATACAAAGATTTCTGTCAAGGCCCCAGCAATCTCCTCTCATCTCCCACATTATCCTGGGATAGATCCCATCAGGCTTTGGGGACTATCTATCTTAATGCTTTAAGACAGCTAACAACTCTTCCTTCTTAACAGCAAGATGTCTTAGAATATCAACATATTCCCTCCCTAATATTATCATCCAAATCCTTCTCCTCTGAAGTCTGATGTGAAGTACTCATTAAAACACCTCACCCATGTCCTCTGGTTCCACACACAAATTCGCTTCTTTGTCCCTGAGCAGACCTATCCTTCCCCTAGCTACCCTCTTGTTCCTAATATGTTTAAAATGTCTTGGGATTCTCCTTAATCCTACTTGCCAAGGACATTTCATAGCCTCTTTTAGTCCTCCTAACTCCTTGTTTAAGTTCTTTCCTGCCTCCTTTATATTCCTCAAAGGCCCTGTCTGATTTCTGTTTCCTAAACCTTACATACGCTGCACTTTTCATTTTGGAAAAACAGTTTCAATATGTCTCATCATCCAGGGTTCTTGAATCTTGCCATCCTTATATTTCAACCTCGCAAGAAGATGCTGATCCTGAACAAAATCAAAGTTGCTGGAGAAGCTCAGCAGGTCTGGCAGCATCTGTGAAGGAAAAAACAGG